CACTGAGATGTCTCTCGAGGGTACAGCAGTCGGCTCCGGGAGTAGCTGAGGGTGCCTGGAGCTCACCGCCGTGTCCAAGCGCTTGTCCCTCTGCCCGGGCCGGTCCTTCCCTCCGCCCCATGCCCAGCCATGCTTCTCCTCTCGGCCCCTTCCTCCGCGTCCGTGTCTGCATTGCGCTGATCTCCCCTGCCCGAAGCTCTGCTCCTTCCCCACTCTCACGCCCTGCTTGTGCCCTTCTGCTCCCTGCTCTTCCCAGCGCTCGCTGTGTGTCCACATGGCAGGCTTTCCCGGGGCGGGCGCTGGGTGGCCAGAGGGCAGGAGCCCTCCGGTCCGGCGCCTGCCCCCGGGCCTGGCTCCGAGAGAAGCACCTGCTTCCAGTCAGCGTGTGCCTGACACGATGCGGTCAGCCAGAAGCAGAGGCCACACACATGTACGCAGACACGCCACGTGCAGACACACACATGCACACACTCGCACCCTGCCTCCTCCTACCCCTCCCTGCTGCTCCGGGCACGCCGCTCCCACGGGCACAGCGCGAACGGGAGACGCTGCCCCAACCCCCCCGCCTGCCCCTGGCTGGGGTCCCGGGATGCCTTGGGCTTTCCCTTTAGTGCCCCAGGCAGGAGCCTCGTCTCGCCTGACCCCCACAGAGCACCGGGCACAGCCCTCGTGGCAGCTGCATGGCCAAGAGCATCCCAGGAAAGCGGCGGAGGACGAGGGTGGGACCCCAGAGCCTGGTGTCCGAGGGCTGCGTCCGACTTCTGCCACCCTGGCCAGGCCTGTTGTCAGCGAACGTGGGGAGACCTTGTGTCCACCTGCTCCGTCCCTCCACTTCGGCAGGTGCTCAGCACCTTCCCAGGATGCCTGTTCCAGGCCCGGGGCATGGACAGGGCAGGCAGGGCCCCCCCAGGGGCTTGAGAGGCAGGACCCAGCCTGCACACGCAGGCCGGGGCGCGTGCTGCAGCGAGGGCCGGGCTTGGGCTCGGGTCCTGGGGGATGCTGTCAAGAGGGACCCCAAGAGCCCTCCGCATCACCCCCGTGCCTGGCATACGTAGCGCCTGCAGCGGCAACGCGGGGAGCCCTGAGCCAGCTCGCCAGCGCTCCTGACAGCGGCCATGATCATTTATTTATTTATGCATAATTAGGGCAGCAGCTTCTTGATGCTTCATGGGAGCGTGATTAATGCGCCGGGGCCGCAGCCACGGTGGCAGGCGAGGGACACGGGGCTGGCAGGCGGGCGGAGGCTGCAGCGAGGGGATGGGTGGCAGGCTGCTATGAGACCGGGCCAGGGGATGCCGGCTTCCCCGCCGGATCTTGGCTTCGGGGCAGTTGCTGCCCGAAAGGGGCGTCCTGACAATAGCGAGTTGCGCAAAACGGCCTCGTCCTCCCGCTGTCTCCCACAGACCTGATTTGTCTCTGCAGGGCTCCTGGGATCCAGGCGTCCCCAGTCCCACTGCCCCCACCTCGGCCATGGTGCAGCTGAGCCCGCTGTCACTGCCAGGCCTGCCGGGGCGGCGCGGCGCAGCGCGGCATCGTGGGCGCTGGGCAGATGGCTTCTCCTCGGGGGGTGGGGATTAATATTTTTTTCCAAGAATAAAAAAGCTCCTATTAATCTAAGGGGGCTGTGGGGGCAGGGTGGACACAGGCATCCACCAGTCGTGGGCAGCCAGGCCAGGGCCACAGGGCCAAGACCCCAGAGGTCGGGACGGGTTCAGCAGCAAAACCGTGAATCAGCGTGAGCCAGGCTGGGCTTGGCCGCGGCAGGGCAGGCGCTGGGGACCAAGCAGGCACTGCTCCTGCCTGGGTCTCCCTGCCAGCTGCCTCCGCGCGGGCGCCGCGGCAGGGACGCAGCGCTCACGTGCGGACACGGCCCCAGGCGGGAGGTGGTGGAGGGGGTCTCGTGGCTGCATCCGCATCTGGGCCGGCTGGGCCCCCCCTCCCCTAGAGCTGTCAGGGCCAGGCATGCGTGTCCATACGCGCAGGCGTGGGTGAGCAGAGCAGAATAATGCTATTAATGCCATCTGGTGCCCAGACAGAGATCCCCCTGCTTAGGAGATCCAGGCATGACTGCTAATCTGTTCACTTCACGTCCCGGGGGCCTGGGGAAGGGGCTACCCCAGCTCTGGGACCCTCCCAGGCTGCACCCCATCGGGAGTTTTACCATCGGATCCGTCCCCACACCCCATCGGGGGTGCAGGGTCCACGTACACCGCCGGCCGCCATCCGCAGGCGGCCCAAAGTGACTAGCGGTCACCACCGTGTAACTTGAGAACATCAAATAGTCCCAGGCTGCAGCCCAGCCCAGCCCGGCGCATGCCCCCTCCTCTGCTGCCTCTTTAAAAGGACACTTGGGGCAGGGAAATGGGGGCCCTGGGGAGCTTACGGGACACAGGACCTTATTCTTTGACCTTAAAGCCAGTCCAGAGCAGGCTTTGAGGTCTCCTCGCCAGCAGCCCCAGCCCTGGCACTGTGCCCCCAGCTCCACCGCTGGCACTGCCCGGCTCACAGGATTTGCCTCCCTCCAGCTGGGGATGCTCCAGACGTACGGTGGAGCTCCCCACGGAGCATCTCCTCCGCCTGCGGCCTGCGCTAGGTGCACTCCCCCGGCCCGGCCCGGCCCGGCCCGGCCCGGCGCAGGCGGGACCTGCAGCCACACCTGCACGTCAGCAGTGAGCGTGCCGCGGGGGGAGAGAGGACGACGCTCCGCCATGACTGCGGTGTCCCAGCGCGCCGCGTGCTCCAGCACTGCACGTCCTCCACGTGTCACGACCCCTCCGTCACGAGCACATCATCGCCTCCGTTCCCCGAGGATGGCCAGGCTCTCGCCATGCTCTACCGTGGAAGCCACGTGGGAAAAAGTCCTGGGGAGAAGCCGCCCCGGCCCGAGGAGCAGCACAGGGGACGGACCGTTGTGCCACCTGAGTCTGGGGCTGGAGACAAACTGAGGGCCGGGGTGGGCAAGCGCTGCCTGGGCTGGACTTCTACACAGAGCCGAGGCTGAGCCGGAGCAGGGAGAACGTGCCGTGTTGGGCCCCAGTCGAGTCCCATCAGAGCCGGCAGCGACGAGGGATGGTCCTGTGAAGCCACGGTGCAGGCTTAGTGCACCCAGCGCCGCCCCGCATGGGTCCTACTCACACCGTCCACCCCTCTGCAACACACATGCACGTGCACACACATATGCCCACACACGTGCAGCCCTGGGGCAGGTCGGAGCCATCAGTGCTGGAGGGGCTGGGCCACGAGGAGCCCAAGTGGAGCCCAGGGGTGTCCAGGGCAGCAGCAGGGCTCTGGTGACCCTGCAGCGTGCGTCTCGCTGGGGAGGTGGCTGGGGAGGACAGCGGAGCAGGGAGCTCCAGCAGCCCCGGCAGGGAGAGGCAGCCTCCTTCCCTGTCCGTCACCTCATTCTGAGCAGCCTGACCCAAGGTTTGCTTGGCTCAACGGGGCCCTGCCTCCCCTCCCCTTTCCATTGCTACGAATGCACCGTGGACAGGCCCCCGCATTGCCACTGCAGCCCCAGACCACCCTCTCGCCTCCGCTCAATTGCAAGCAGTGGAGCCACACGCCTCCGAGTCCGACTGCAATGGAGAGACGTTCAGTGTGTGACCGAGGGCAACGGGGTGGACAACACGCTGCCTGGGAAAGCACCAGCACGGCCAACTTTACAGACCAGCACCTAATGGCCACCGAGACAGGGCCAGGGAGATGCGCGCACCTGCGCCTGCCTCAGCCGGCACAAAGTGAGGACGTGGAGCTCTGCTCCCCTCATCTGGTGACTCGGTGTTTGAGCACTAGGTGCATGCAGCGAGTCTTTATTACAGAGATTATTCTCCACACAGCTGCCCCTTCTCTGGGCCATTAACAAGCACCTTTGATAATTAAGGTGGGAACAGCTGTTCTGTGGCCCAGGGTCCATCCTGTCCTGTCTCACTCTCACACTATGAGCTGGGCTTAGAGTAGAAAGTCACTCACGGCGGGGACAGCTGAAGCCCAGTGACACCCGTATCCAGTGGGATACTGAACAGCAAGCCCAGAAACACGTCTAGGGCTCCTGAGCTCCGTGGAAGCTCTCACATCTCTGCAAAAGCCACCCCAGCAGCAGCCCCATTAGAAAGGGCATGCGGATGGTTGGACTTGCAGCTCCTGGCACTGCCCGCGGGGCAGGGTGGGCAGCTGCATGGAGCAATGCACCAGCCCCAGCTGGACACGAGATGGCAGCAGTGGCACGTCTGTCCTGGGCCCAGGCCCGGGCCCGCGTGGCTGCTGGCGCAGGGGAACAGCCAACAAGGTGAACCGGCTTCAGCGCCCAGGGCCGCCCTGCCCAGGGACCTGGCCCGCCGTCCCAGCCCTGCACCAGGGCTCCTGCTTCCTGGAGCTCAGCCCACCCGCTCCAAGTGCCCTGAGCCCCGGCTCGCCCTGGGCCCTCCTGGGCACCTCCAGGCTGGTACTGAACGCAGGCGAGCCCGCGCCAAGCCCTCACGCCCAGACAGCAATTGCTACAGGCTGTACGGGTCCATCTCGGCACGCGCTTAGCTTGGATCCGGTGGTGGCTGGGATGCATCCTCATGCCCACAGCATCACGGAGGGGCCAGGAGCTCCTCCCCGCACTCCTGCCCGCTTGCCAGCGGCCCCCCCATCCTCCTCCCCTGCAGCCGCTGCATGGGACCCCCGCCTGGCCCGTTCTGACCCCACGGAGAGGGGAGTGCTGGAGAGCAGCTGAGCCGGGGCTGCCCCGACAAGGGCTGCATGGGGAAGCGGTAGGTTTTCTTAAAGAAACTCTGGCACGTCCCGCTTGGGTCAGAGGGTGGTCACTGGGGAGGTGGGGGGTCACAGCTGACGTCCCGGCTGTAGCAGAGCCTGGGAAAGCTGCACTAATCACTCCCCGAGGAACCCAGCGGTGCCCTTGCAGATGTTAGCCGCATGGATATAGCGGCAGACAGACCTACCCAGACCCAGCCCGGGCACAACGCCGCACTGGAGGAAGAGTCCCCATGCACACAGGCTTTAGCCATCTCAGGCAGGAGCTTTATTGAGGCATGGAGGTGCTTAGCTGACCTACAGCAGGAAAACCACGAGCGTGCACTGAGGAGGCAGGGGCTGGTGTGTGCACCACAGCGGCGCGGGGGGCAAGGTGCCCGGTGAGGATGTGGTGCAGGAAACCTCTTTCCGGACCGCCGGGCAGCTCCGGCTGCAGAGACAGCAGTGGGAAGCGGAGCAGCTGCGAAGAGGGTGCCCGCTCAGAGCTGCGCCTGCACTCGGAGCTCGCTGCACCCCAGGGCCGTGCGGGACCCACCCTGGCACTCGGCTTTGTGAATGCAAAACCAAGGACCCCGAGCCCAGCTCCTGGGGCTCCTCTCTACAGGGTGCTCAGCCCAGCCCCTAGGCCTTCCCTCTCCTTTCCACCCCCCTCGTGGCCAGGTCCTGCCCCGGCCAGCCGCCAGCGCCCACTCAAGCCCTTCCTGCCAGGAGGACCATCCGCTAACCCCGCACAGCGCACCCGGCATCGCGCCAGCGTGCCCCGCAGCCCAGGGCCGGCCCTCCATCGGGTACCTGCAGCTACAGGTCATCGTGGTCGCCTTGTCTGAGGAAAGGGGCAGGAAGGAAGAAAGCAGCGTTAGACACCGGTTCCCGGCATGGGGCAGGGAGGGGCCAGGGCGATTGCAAAGACAACCGACCTGCTTTTCTTCTTGCCTCCGCAGCGGAAGCGCCGGCCTGGAAACAAGGCGAGAGATCAGGGCTCTGCACCCACCCTCCGCTCCACGTCCTCCTGCAGCCCCCCGGGGCAGGGGCCCTCCCGGCTGGGCTCTGCCCCCCAGCCCGAGGAGCCATGGGTGGCCTCTGCCGCCAGGCCCAGGGGCTCCACGGCCAGGCCTGGCTGGTCATTCAGCCAAGTGCCCAGCCAGCCCCAGCAGGGTATGGCCCCTGGGGACAGCCCCGCAGCCCCTCACTGCTCCTCCCTTTGGGGGGACTTGGGGCGATGGGCCTGGGGCAGGTGTGCCGTGAAGGGCCCTGCAGACCCCCGCCCGTCACACCCGGCAGCACTTACTGAGGATGATGAGGAGTCCCACCAGGAACGCCACCACGGCGAAGATCAGCCCCCCGTTCCGGACCGTGTCGTAGTCTCGGGGGGGAGAGGCTCGTTACAGCCTGGCGAGGAGGGTGCCTGGCGGGGGCGGCCGAGGCACGGGTAGGAGCCGGTCGCCTGGGGCGGGGGCTGCCCTGGCACCCCGCGCACTCCCCAGGGGCTCGGCCCAGGGAAGCAGGAGGGAGCGGGGCCAGTCCTGGGCGAGCTCTGCCCCAGTCCCCCCCATGCCCTGCGGCGTCCCAAATACTCCGACCACCCGTGCTCCCCGCCGCCTGCCCTGCCCTGCCCTGCCACGGACCCCTTCCCTCGGGCAGGGACCCAGCACACAAGGGCGAGAGCCGTGGGGCTAGGCCGGGGCCCGTCCGCGGAGGCTTACCGTAGGTGAACCGGGCGGTCTCCTGCTCGGGGACGGCTTCTGGAAGGAGAGGGTGAGGCCAGCGGGAGACGCAGAAGGATCCCCCACCACAGGCGGTGCAGGAAGGGCCCCATTCCCTGGCCTGGCTGGGGCACTCGCAGCCCCGAGTACAGTAAACACGGCTCACGGACCCTCGGGAGCCCGAAATGAAATGCCCGCTGGCCGGCAGCGTATTATCCATTGGCGCTACGCGGGCACGGCGCTCCCTCTCCCCAGGGCTCGGCGAGGGAACAGCCGGCAGCAAAGGCACAGCGAGTGCGTCACGGGCTGGGTGACCAGGAGACCCCGGGGACAGCACTGGGCTTTCCAGGGAGCCCCTGCAGACTCCAGCTGTTTTTCCCATGCTATTTTCCACCACGAGGCAGCTGGAGCTGGAGCTGGAGCTGCAGGGCCCTGGGACCGGCGGGGCGGGGCGGGGTGGGGCGGGGGG